AATTAAAATTAAAAAAGCCTAAGCATTAAAAGGAATGAAAAAGACTAGCTAAGGATTTACATTCATATTCTAATACTGCTATGGGTCATTAATTTGGGGTTTGGATAGATTAGGAAAATGAGTGGGGTTTTAAAAGTTTTAGCTAACATGTATTAACTAACATGATTTTAAACACTAGCACTGAATGTAGACAAAGACAGTGATGTTTAAAAACTTGTTATCTGCTCTGGTTAACACACGTAACTTTGGGAAACTTCTTAAGAACCTAACTAGAGTCTAGATGCTGGGTAATTATCTCCAATTAAACTATTCCTCCCTCCTCAACAACAACAACAGACAATTTTCTCAACCATACAAGTATTGTAATAGTCCAAGTGTAAACATAAAAATAATCTGAACCGTTTTCTTTCTCTCTTTGTGCCTGTGGGGCCCGAGTCTTCTCTCCCTTAGTGGTGTAAATCAGAAGTATGTCTGAGGAAGTGATGGAGTTACACCAGTTTTATATTGCTGTGTAAGTGGCAGGAGACTAAAGCTAGCAGAATTGAAAAATCCTTTTGACTCCACTAAAAAAAGTTAAGAGGCCATACCTGCGCTAGGAGAAACAGAGCTTCCGTCTCCAGGGCTGCCAGCCCGGCATCTTTCAGCAGTTGCTAAAAATTACCTTTAAAAAAATAGCTTTATGAATGTGTGATCACTCCTGGCACTGCAGTGTGATATGAAAGGAAGCGCATATGGGACTGTGTGATCAGAGAAAAATGATAACTGTGTCATCTAAAAATAAACCTGCTGTTTGTTCCGCAAAGACCCATCACTGTGCTTCCCTAGTAGCAGCCAGAGCACAGCAGTCACTGCTCTAATAACTAAGTAGCAAAATAAACAATTCATGGGTGGTACAGTTTTTCCAGACATCATCATACATTTGCATGTTGAGTGTGTTTGTGCACTTGCGTGAGCGAGCAGGAACACATGGCGTGTACATATGCACAAGCACATGTGTAGTTAATCATCCAGTTCCATTCATATATGCCCCTCTTCAGAAACCAGAGATGCCTTTTAGTCACTGTCAGAAACAGGATACTGGATTTAGATGGACTGTTGGTCTGATCCTAATGGAGTCAAATAAGAGACAACCTTGGGTGGATATACACACAATGAGCTCCTGCAGAGCAAAGATTACAATGGGAGATGGCTCTATTATCCTCACAGAACAGTGGGTAAATTCCTCAGGATTAAGGGACACCTTTAAGGATTTACGAATGTATGTACTGGATCAGACCAGTGGTCCATCTAGCATCAGTATCCTGCCATTAACCATAACCAATATTGGATGCTTCAAAGGAATCCATGTCTACACTGCAATAAAAGACCCACAGCTGCCAACTGACTCGGGCCCACAGGACTTGGGCCAGGAGCACCAGAACCTGCATAGAAGTGGGCTGACCACCAGTGCCAGAACCATGCCCCCATCCCTGCTCCTCCTCTTCCCCGAAAGGTCCCTCCCCCTACTCCTCCCTTTTCCCCCAAGGCCCCGCTCCCTAGGCAGGCTGGATAACCGGAGCCAGGCCATGGTAAGAGCTGCCCAGGGAGCCTGTGCCACTGTGGGGAGCCCCAGATCCTCCACCTGCTCTGGACAGGGAGCTGGAGAGCAGCCCCCAGCCCATGTCCCTGCCCCCTGGTGCACACCACACAAGGCAGGTGGAGGGTCTGGGGCTCTCCACAGCAGCCTGGGTTCCCTGGGCAGCTCTTAACAGCCCGGCTTCAGCTTCTGGCCTGGCCAGGGTCAGAGCCTCAGGAAAGAGGAGGAGCAGGGGCGGGGCCCCATAGTGGGGGGACTAAGGCCCACCTCAGCCCCCCCACCAGGAAGAGGCAGGCAGTGCTAGCAGGGGCTGCACTTTGTGGCAGGGGAGCTGATCACCTTTTCAGCTCCCCTGCTGCAAAACGCAGCCTCTGCCAGGCCTGCCTGAGGCTACTACACCCATGTTAAAAAGTTGATCCGATGAAGTGGGCTGTAGCCCACGAAAACTTATGCTCCAATAAATTTGTTAGTCTCTAAGGTGCCACAAGTACTCCTGTTCTTTTTGCAGATACAGACCAACATGGCTGCTACTCTGAAACCTGTTAAAAAGTGGGAGGGCCATGGCCCCCCTGCACACACACCCTGGTTCCGGTGCCCTTGGCTTGAGTCACAGGGCTATAACATTGCAGCGAAGCCATTCAGGCTCATGCTGGAGCAGTATTGTGTCTCTGGGAGAAAAATTATTCCTCCTGATCCCAAATGGTGATGAACCTATAGGCTAAAAGGAGAGGATTGATAATGCTCATAATCCCATCCTAGGTACTATAATGCCAGATGCTATTCTTATTCACAGAAACAGCTCATTCTCTTATGAGACTTACTATTTGCACATGCTGTGCTCTGAAGAATCACAAGGCACAGACTTGGTTTCTTTAACGAAGTGTTTATCATTTTACAGATAGACTTTAAAGAGTGAGATAACCATCAGCAGCCTAAGGAGTAAACCCTTCAGGACAGGGATTCTCGCTTTTTTATGTTTGTACAGCACCCAGAACAATAGGGCCTCAATCCAGATTGGAGCCTTTGGGCAATACCATAATTAAAGTGTTGTTAATAATAATAAAAAAATTCCCAAGTTGCTCTACAGAGCAGCTGGGTCTCTAGACAAAACACAAGGCAGCACCAAGGTATCACCTTTCCTAGCACATCATGCAAATTGGAACACAGCTACTCACATGCACTCCAGCTGAGTCCACGTGCATATCTTGTGAGATAACTAACCCCTTAATGACTAGATGAACTGACACTGCAGAACACTTACATCACACTTGATAAACACCTGGACTCAAAAAGGAGTGAGCCAAAACCAGAAACAGACTGCATCAGACGGCAACTAGCTTATAAAACACCACCATTGCAGGTTATCCATTCTCTAACTTCTGTCTGATGCTGCATCCCAGCCTCAGAGTTGCCATCCTTCTGTTTAGAGAGAGACATTCATTTACAGCTTATTTTTAAAAGCAAACAAATTCAAATGTTTTTTTAAACTATTAAGGAGAGAGAGAATACGGAGAGACCTAGCAACAAAATTTTGCACCCCTGCTTGACATTTGCCACAAATCATTTGGAGTTCTGTGTCACAGGTTACATTTACAGGGGATGTCTTACTAGCCAAGCCTTAGGTGTGTAGCTTCTATGGGATCAGAGTCTCCAATATCAGCGGGTCAACTCAGGCCTTTATCCATCTAATGTAAGTACATCAGGTTCCACACAATTTACTGTGTGGATGCAGTACGACCTTACGGGGTCATTGTAAAGGCAAATTTGGCCTCAAAGTTGTTTTTGTTGCTGGCTTTTTTTGGGGGGGGGGGGAGGGGGGACAAAGGACACAGGACACTTACAAAACTGAAGAATCTGAGAATGAAAGTGACTTAAAAAAAAAGTGAAACTAACATATCTTCATTGTTCAACCAGAGAGAAATAATAAAGTAAACACAGAACATCTATAGTGGAAATTTTAATTTAATTTTTGAAAATTTTCATTTTAATCTGTTTTAGTAATGTAGGTAAAGCAATTTATCTTTTTAAATGTTGTTTAAGTTACTATCCCTTTAAAAACCATGGCCCTATAAGTTTTGGTAGGCATTAAAAATCCCCCAGCACTTTCTATAAGAGCAGTGTGTTTGTCCTGCTATCCCTGGACAACACTGCCTACCACACACACACTGTTGTACAGTGGGCTGTGCTCTTGCTTGCTGACCTCCACCCCAGAAATAGCTGCATTTTACTGGACCTGTGTCTATACCATTTATGAAACATTCCAGGGTCAAAAAGCATTACAGAAAGAGAGGGGATCACATCTATCAAAGTACAGAGAGGAATGGGAGTATGAGTCCCAAAGCTGTCTACACACAATCTTGCTGAATGGCTCTGCACTGGTGCAATGTAGACATGGGGAGCGTACAACCTAAATGTAGTGCAAAAGTTTCCAAGATCACTGAGTACAGAGGTACAAATCCTTTTAATCAAGCTTTACAAACAGACCCACCTAGCCTTCGTCCCCCTCCCCGTGCTCCTATACCAAGTCTAGTACCTCCTGATCTTGGGAACTCCTTGCTGGACAGCCATGAGGGTTTTCTGAGCTGTGTAAGTCCTTTAAAGCAGCTGGCCCTTCCCCAGGGAATACCATGGCACTTTGCAAATCCTATGCCTTTAGATTTAGCACAGCACTTGTCACAACAATAGCCATCCTTTTACCATCTCTTTCTCAGAGTGAGCTTCCAAAGTAGCCTTCTCAGCTGACATGTTCACTTGCTTAGCAACAGGAAAACCACAAAAGATGTCAGCGTGGGGCCTGATCCTGCAAACCCTTCCTTGAGAAGAGGTCTGCAGGATCAGGTGTAAGTTCTGAACAGGTGAAATAGGTGTGTAATGATCAGGATAGAGAGACACTTCCTCTGGAAGTAGGCAGGTGCTCCTTCAATCCACACAGCTGTCTCCCATAGTAATGGTTATTTGAGTATTAATTACCAATAGGCACAGGAATCCACTGGCACCAATACAAGCCCTGCTAAACTTATATTGCTTTCTACACTCATGCTGGCAGGATCTATTTAGGCACCTAGCCCCTAGGCTCATCCAACATTAACTGATACCTCTTCCCTCTCCCCCGAGAATGTTAGTAATGGCTGTTTGATTATATTAGCCCCTGGACTAATTAACCTGGGAGTGTGAAGCAGCAGGGATTAACATTCACTGAATATATGGGTGCCTTCTCCTTCCCTCTCTGCCAGGAAATCTGATTTTGCAATCACAGGACTCCATTCAGCAAACATCTCTCTTGCCCTTTAAACTGTAGCCAGGCTGATAAAAAGTAGTTGGAAATAAAAAGCCATAAATGGCAAAGGAAAGACAAATAGACAAGTGGTAAATGAGATGAAGAGGAGAGGAAAGAAGCGACCCATAATGCAAAACTAACTCTTACCTTCTGCATCAGTTTGTTTGAAGGTGAGTGTAAGGTTTAGAGGCACTAAAGCCACCCTGTAGCCCAGCTGTGTGTCCACTTCCCCACTTCTGTAGCTTAATCAGTGGCTCCAACACTCTCCTCTCCCCAGCTTCTGTTTGGTTACTAATCCTTACTGCACAGGAAAAGGAGAGTTGGATTTCATTTAACCCCTTGAGCCTCAAAGTTTCTTCATGAGTTTCCTGTTTTGCTTTTGAAAGCCAGAGTTGTAGCCGTGCACACATGGAAGAGCCTGATTTGGGATGATTTCCAGTTCCCTTTGAATGTGTGCGTGCTTTAATTGAAAATTCTGCTGCAAGTTATTGCCTGGGTGGAGCCCTTCATAACTAGTTTTACTGTAGCTGCCGGCAGCATTTCAAGAGACAGATACAGTAATTCCTAGTTCCACTTACTGTTCCTCATTTTCAATAAATTCCCAAGTCTAAATAACAAAATATTGAATTTAATCACATTTTCTTTGAAACTAGAGGTGGGCCAGAACCACAAGTCATCAGCCAGGCATCCCCCGGACCGTGGGAAATTTGAATCCAAATCCAGTTCACAGCTGGCCCCATATCTATGACGGGCTTAACCAGACCCTCAGATCTAAAGGTCCAAGCATTTTGGAGGAGTTAGGCTATATCCGGAGATGAATATTGCAGCTCGGGTCCATCTCTATTTGAGATGCTCTTTTCTCCTTTAACATGCACCATGTAGTTCACATCCCTTGTGAAAAACCAGCAGGGAGAACAATTTAGCAACAGTAAAAAGTGCTCAGGAGGAAAGAAGCTGACAGAATGCCAGTGTAGCTAATGGAGGACAGTGAGTTCTTGCTCATAGTTCGTAGAACATCAGGGTTGGAAGGGACCTCAGGAGGTCATCTAGTCCAACTCCCTGCTCAAAGCAGGACCAATCCCCAACTAAATCATTCCAGCCAGGGCTTTGTCAAGCCCAGGCCTTAAAAACCTCTAAGGAAGGAGATTCCACCACCTCCCTAGGTAACGCATTCCAGGGCTTCATCACCCTCCTAGTGAAAAAGCTTTTCCTAATATCCAACCTAAACCTCCCCCACTGCAACTTGAGACCATTACTCCTTGTTCTGTCATCAGCGTCCACTGAGAACAGTCTAGATCCATCCTCTTTGGAACCCCCTTTCAGGTAGTTGAAAGCGGCTATCAAATCCCCCCTCATTCTTCTCTTCCGCAGACTAAACAATCCCAGTTCCCTCAGCCTCTCCTCATAAGTCATGCGTTCCAGTCCCCTAATCATTTTTGTTGCCCTCCGCTGGACCTTTTCCAATTTTTCCACATCCTTCTTGTAGTGTGGGGCCCAAAACTGGACACACTACTCCAGATGAGGCCTCACCAATGTCGAATAGAGGGGAACGATCACGTCCCTCGGTTTGCTAGCAATGCTCCTACTTATACATCCCAAAAGGCCATTGGCCTTCTTGGCAACAAGGGCACACTGTTGACTCATATCCAGCTTCTCATCCACTGTAACCCCTAGGTCCTTTTCTGCAGAACTGCTGCTGAGCCATTCGGTCCCTAGTCTGTAGCGGTCCATGGGATTCTTCTGTGATAAGTGCAGGACTCTGCACTTTTCCTGGTTGAACCTCATCAGATTTCTTTTGGCCCAACCCTCTAATTTGTATCCTATTTTTACCCTCTGGCATGTCTACCTCTCCTCCCAGTTTAGTGTCGTCTGCAAACTTGCTGAGAGTACAATCACACACCATCCTCCAGATCATTAATGAAGATATTGAACAAAACCGGTCCGAGGACTGACCCTTGGGGCACTCCACTTGATACTGGCTGCCAACTAGACATGGAATCATTGATCACTACCTGTTGAGCCCAGCAATGTAGCCAGCTCCATGGTGTGCTAGAGAAGATGCTGCATCCGGCACTGGATGGTCGTACATTGTCTCAGCTGTGGCCGGACCAAGCGCTTTCTGAGCAACCTGGCATACAAGCTGTGGGTGGAGCAGCCCAAGGCCCTGCTGGAGAACCATCCCCAAGCTGACCAGAAATCTGTGTTGCCAAGTCTCATGATTTTATAACAAGTCTTGTGTTAGCTGATGTTTTTCTTAACCCCTCAGACCTTGGCATCGTGTGAATATACCAGCCTCTCAGATTGTAATATTTTTTTAAAGTAAATTTCTCATCTCACAGTTGTGGAGAAAAGCTTGTAAACATGATCCCTAAAGCTTCCAAAGCCAGTAGGCAAATAAACAGAACTCCAAATGCCTTGTTTTAGAGATTACATGATTTTTAAGCCATTCTCACGATTTTTGAAAGCCTGGGTTAGGCAATGCTGCTCTTGTGACTGACAATTGAAGTTACAGGAGGAATTTTGGAAGGAGGAATGTAATTGCCCACACTGGAATCTAGCCAGGACATAGCCAAGAAACAGCTATGCCTACTTTGCTAAAGCAGACACTGGCTGAACACAGCATCTGGAGATTTTTAACCATAAAGATTGAAGAACTGCTCCCTGGGGACGTTGAAATAAAATCAGAACTGACCAGAACTTTCACTCCAAACTCAAACAACCTGAAACTTTGGTGAAGTTCATTTTATCAACCAAAAAAACCCCCCAACAAAACAAAAAAAACCCAAACCCAACCACCAGCCAAACAAAAAAGGCCTTGTACCTCACACTTCCTGAGTCCAACAGGAGGGCAGGAACATGGGAAAACAAAGGCTGTTCTTGTGGGATTTTGATCCAGGCCCAGCTCATCTCAGGAAGTCTGTACTATAGGTCTCACAAGACAGCTTGAAATTGCAAAATTTCCAGGCCAAAGTGGTGCCCTAAGGATACATTCTAAGCAACGAAATGATTGTATATAAATGTGCAACAAATGTCTGCATGGTGACCCCACGCTTGCCATTGTAAGTAGTTAAAGTGTACACTGTTTCTGTGAAAGAGGAAGTGATCCCTGTATACCTTGTAAGTACTGGAAACACTTCTGAATGAAAAAAGAGGTGACAGTGCACTGATCCAAGGTCATTCTCATAATTTGACAGTGAACCTGAGATTTATGATGCACCAAATCTAATCAGATAAACAGGACACTCACTTCTCCACCAGCCTGCTACATCCAGGGGATGCATGGGGAGGCAATGGCAGTGTCACAGGGGTGACCACCAACTGGAGGAGAATTTGGGTGGGTCAGGTCACCTGTTTTATATTGTTAAACATTTTTGGCATGAAGCATGTTGTGAAGGAGATCCCTTCTGTTGTGCTGTTGATCTCTTAGGCTGGGGTCTGTCCTGGCAGCAGCAATTCCAGCTTTTCTTCCAACAAACCCTCAGAGCACTTTTAATGGAAAGGAACCACCAGACTCCCTTATTGCCAGGGAAATTCCTTTCTCCTTTCAGAAGGACTGATTCATATAAGAATACAGAGCTTGACAAGCTTCACATGACTGACAGGCTGTTGCTATTTAAGTTTTCCTTCATTATTTTAGCAGGATCCAGTAATATCTGTGTACTTCCAGCAGGGAACTGAGAGACAGGGACTTGGGTTCTAACCCCAGCTCTGCCATGACTCACTTTCTGATCCTGAGCATGTCACTTGATCCCTTGGACTCTCGGCTTCCTCATCTCTAACACAGGGATGACTATACTTACCTACCCCCAGGAGCACTAGCCTGTGAGGAGTCGTTAATGTTCATGAAGCACTTTGAGCTACTCAGATGAAAGCTGGAAAGTATTATGAGACTTCCCTTGTAGATGGACTCTGCTGTGTGACTACAGCAAGGTGTGACCTGCTGAAGTGAAGAAACAGATTGACAGAGCCAGAAGGTTACGCAGAAGTCACCTACTACAGGACACGCCCAACAAAGAAAGTAACAGAATGCCACTAGCCATCACCTTCAACCCCCTACTAAAACCTCTCCAATGCATCATCAAAGATCTACAACCTATCCTGAAGGATGATCCCTCACTCTCACAGACCTTGGGAGACAGGCCAGTCCTCGCTTACAGACAACCCCCCAACCTGAAGCAAATACTCACCAGCACCTACATACCACACAACAAAAACACTAACCCAGGAACCTATCTCTGCAACAAACCCCGTTGCAAACTCTGTCTACATATCTATTCAAGGGACACCATCATAGAACCTAACCACATCAGCCACACCATCAGGGGCTCGTTCACTTGCAGATCTATCAATGTGATATATGCCATCATGTGCCAGCAATGCCCCTCCGCCATGAACATTGGTCAAACCGGACAGTCTCTACACAAAAGAATAAATGGACACAAATCAGATGTCAAGAATTATAACATTCAAAAACTAGTAGGAGAACACTTCAACTTCCCTGGACACTCAACAACAGACTTAAAAGTGGCAATTCTTCAACAACAAAATTTCAAAAACAGACTCCAATAAGAAACTGCAAAACTGGAATTAATTTGCAAACTGGACACCATCAAATTAGGCCTGAATAAAGACTGGGAGTGGATGGGTCACTACAAGAACTAAAACTAATTTCCCTATGCTAATTTCCCCCCTACTGTTACTCACACCTTCTTGTCAACTGTTTGAAATGGGCCACCCCGATTACCACTACAAAAGTGATTTTTCCTCCTGTTGATAATAGCCCACTTTAACTGAATTGTCTTGTTAGAATTGGTAAGGCAACTCCCATCTTTTCATGTACTATTGTATATATATCTTCCTACTGTATTTTCCACTCCATGCATCTGATGAATTGGATTTTAGACCACGAAAGCTTATGCCCAAATAAATTCGTTAGTCTCTAAGGTACCACAAGTACTCCTTGTTGTTTATACCAAACAAGTTACTTGCAATAGTTATTTTTTACCAGGAATTCTTGCACTGCTCCATAACTGCCTCTCTGTTCCAGGGGTCTGGCCACCTATGCACTCCTGTGATATATCTCCTGGAGTGCTGAGGACTGGCCCACTCGGTGCAGTGTGATCAGTTGAATTAACAGAACTTTTGTATGATTACAATTATTAGCAGATATGTTCTTTCTGTGGCATCTGGGTATAGGGCTCAGTAGGAGTCTGGTCAGGTTAGGAGAGGGGGCAATAATATCGGAGTAGGGTGGGGTAAAGTACATGAAAAATAATTCCCAATATTAGCAGGGCTACAGCCACATGAATCAATACTCTGTGAGTACTGCTATTATTATAGTGTCTTTGACACACATAGGCTTGAAATGAAACAAAGAATTCAGGCTAACAATTTCCAAATAG